AACGCTAAACCCTAAACCCTAAACCCTAAACCCTAAACCGCTGAGGCTGCCGACTCTGCCCTCATTTGGATCTTTGTGAGGCCCTCCTCGAAATTGCGAGCCCAGTCCTTCCGGCTCCACAGCAGTCATGAAGCCTTAAAAAAATTAGAATAGGGGTTTGGAGGATATTGCAGTATATGAAAAAGGGACTATGAGGGAATACCATGAGTAATCCTTCCAGCTCCACAGCAGTAGCCAGAATTCGTGGGAAGAGTCGCGAGTCTGTTTCGCGGTTGTTTTGCTTGGTATGTGAAGACCCATATGCCCATTGTATTCTAGCAAAATTCTCAAAGGTACTGCCATGATATTGGTCTACCGGTTCAGCCTTCGGCTCTTGTGGCCGTGGCCTCTCTCCCTAAACCCTAAACCCTAAACCCTAAACCCTAAACCCTAAACCCAGAAGCCTCCTCGCGGACTGCTCGGCGCAACTCTTCCATTGCCGACACCTCCTGTCAGCTCTTCCCCCAAGAGTCGCAAACAAAGAACTGCTTAAGGCCTGCTACAGAACTCTTGACACGTTTTGCATCTGGGTTTAGGGTTTAGGGTTTAGGGTTTAGGGTTTTAGGGTTTAGGGTTTAGGGTTTAGGGTTTAGGGTTTAGGGTTTAGGGTTTAGGGTTTAGGGTTTAGGGTTTAGGGTTTAGGGGTTAGGGAGAGAGACTAGCTGCCGCGTTACAAGAAGAACAGCCTATTTAGAATTACAGAAGCACACATATAGTGCTCTCACGGGACTATCATCGCAGCGTTAAGACTAGTTCTGGCGCTGCTACTGTTGCCATTGCTACTTCTATGCCCTGACCACGTACGCTTCGCTAGCAGCGGTGTCCCCTCAAGAGCTGCAACTGCAAACCAAGGAGACATGAACGACGGGACACTTAACCAAGCAGCGTGGCGAGAACGCAGGGTGGTCCAACCGTGATCTTCAAGTCTAGGTTCACCGGCGAGGGTCACTGCTTCTCTGTTTGAGAATGGGTAGTTCTCCGAATTTGGGCGCCTTTTTGGGTCCTCATGATAAGGGTGGCGTACTAAAAACAGGGACCCTAAATCGGACAACCACCCGATTGGGTCTTGTATACTCTTCGCAAGAGGACGGTGCGCTGCCGCTGTTCTTATTGCACTTGGCATGGCTGCTACCACGGATACTACACAAACTCCCCTGCTGCTATCACTTCATGATGCCATCCCCATCTTCAACCCTAAACCCTAAACCCCTAAACCCTAAACCCTAAACCCTAAACCCTAAACCCTAAACCCTAAACCCTAAACCCTAAACCCTAAACCCTAAACCCTAAACCCTAAACCCTAAACCCTAAACCCCACAGCACTCTGCAGATTCCTCCTATGATCCCTCGGATCCCCTGAGTCAAAGGGGCGCCTTAGGAGCCGCCCATGCCGGGGAGGCCTCCCAGGCTGCAAGGTTTGGTCAAAGTACAATTTGGGGGGTGTGTCAAGTTTAGGGTTTGGGGTTTAGGGTTTAGGGTTTAGGGCTTAGGGCTTCGGGTTTAGGGTTTAGGGTTTAGGGTTTGTCTAGGGTTTAGGGTTTAGGGTTTAGGGTTTAGGGTTTAGGGTTTAGGGTTTAGGGTTTAGGGTTTAGGGTTTAGGGTTTAGGGTTTAGGGTTTAGGGTTTAGGGTTGAGGGTTTAGGGTTTAGGGTTTAGGGTTTAGGGTATAGTAACTTGCCACTCATGCAACAATGACACACAAAAAGCAAGGCAAGAAGGGCCCAGTGCAGAATGAAGCAGTGGAAACAATTTGAGGCCTGCAACTTGTAGGGTCTTAAATGGTTGTTGAAGGGTTTTAAAGGTGTTTTCATGTTGTTCAATGGTTTTTTGGGGTTCAAAACGGTTCTTTGGGGGTTCATAATGGCTTCTTAGGGCTTTTCGGGTCAACCGTCAACCTGACTTTACTCGTGGTTTGTTGATCATAGGCAGCTCTTGGATTGATTTGCGTAAACATAGGTGCTTTGGGGGGGGGGTTGTATGAGAGGGGGACCTTGATCTCACGAAAGGTCTTTGTGCTGCTCTAACCACTACTAGGGTACTGTTGCAGTATGCTCCTGTGGCACTCGTCCTGCTGCCCTTGCGACGATTTCTATCAGAGGAAAGACGTATGGCGTCCAAGGCTCCGCCACGGAGTAGACGTTTGGAAACGTCTGCAGCGCGTGGGCACCGCTGGCCAAGCCGGATGCCTAGTCACGAAGGCATATCACCAATACTACGGTCATTGGTTGGGGTGTTCCCCCTTAAACTAACAGTCCTTATATAATAGGGAGTGTAATACCCCCGATTAGAATCCCGATTAAGGACTGCTAGTATAAGGGGAACATCCGAAGCAGTAGGCCTTCATGGGCCTAAAAATCGTAGTAGCACGACAACTAATCATTGAAACAGTAACCATAGCAACACGCGTCGTAGTAGCAGCTGTAGCAGCAGAGGGAGAGTGGCAGTTGCAGGGGTGATTACCTGCGAAAACATCATCACTGCTATTGCTACTATTTTGTGCATACGGAAACTATGAGAGCTGTTGTTAGTTGTGCTTGCTACAGTTCTTGTTATGTTTCTTGTTTCGTTTGTCATGGTTGCGCTATTGCCACGTCTTATCACAACTGTTACCATTACTTCCCACACTGCTACTAAACTCAACAAACCCTACGACAACAATTGCTATTGCTGGTGCTACGATTGCTACTACTGTTGCCGGCACTGTTGTTATGACCCTTTCTGCCGCTTCCAGGCTTACTGTCTGCGTTGCCACTGCTTGTTGCTGTTTACTGTTGTTGCTGCTATGACCCTCCATCGCTAATGAGTCCTGATGCTTCTATTGCTACTTCATTTCAATCAGGGGCAGCATGTACTAGCTAGGTGTTTGCATTACATACTGCAAAGGAGTATTTTGTATATGTATCCGCTAGTACTGCAAAGATATCTTGAACCCAAGTGTCCTGGATGCATGTGATCCTCTATATGGGGGCTTCTGAAAATAGGGGTACCCTTTTTGGGGGTCCCCTTAAGGCGATTCCGTTCTATTTCGAGTATAAACGGGGTACCTCTAGTTTTGGGAAATGCCTATATCCCACGCAGCACCTGCTTGCAGATCAGGCACTGTGCGTGCCATACTGGACTGACAGAAGACGGGGGATGCAGCAACAGGTTTGAGACAAATCCTGCGGATCATGTGGTGATTGTTCTAAATTATGGCCTTTTTGAAGGGGTCCTTATTATAAGGCGCCCCCTCTGATTTAGGGTACCCAAACAGGGACCCAACTTTAGAGAACTACCCACGTAAGCAAATCGAGGTCTATTTAACGTCTGCACGGTGCTAGTTCGTATTCGCGATGCGCTTGGTACAGCCAAAGCTAGACGCAGCCCCATCGCAAGACTGGTCAATTTTAATTCTGAAGGGTTTTGTGGGAAGGTGATTTATGTTTGGAACTACAGAGGCGTACGGTTTAGGGATTCAAATTCAAGGCGGACGAAGCGCCAACGCGTCTGACCCTGACACCCCCCCCCACCCCCATTCGCACACCTGGCATCCCAACGGCCAAACCCAAAAGACACCTCACCCTCAGCGCACTCTCCCAGAGTCCCAGAGCATTGCCAACACCCAAGGCCGGACCCTCTGAGACCGGGTGCCCCACTGCGGCGTCGAGGTGGTGAGGTCCGGGCCCTGCAGGCGTAGAGAATGCAGGGAGGTGTTTCTGACTGGTTCTTGGTAGGGAATGAGGGAAGGAGTAGTATATTATATGGGACCCCAATTCCCTCGTTCCCGAGGGTTGAGGGAATGATGTAGGGGGTTTAGGGGCTTGGGGAGGGTTGTATGCAGGTAGGGGCTTTGGGGGGATGTTGTTTAAATGGCAGTTCTGGCTTGAAGACTCGGATTTGCGGGGTCGAACTGTGGAACTCGGATGTCAGGCAAGGCTCACACCACCAAAAATCGCTGAGAAGAGCTAAACCGTCCCTGGCCGGCCTTAAGACTCCGGGAGGTCATCAACCGAACTCCTCCTGCTACGGAGGCGGAAGGACAAACAACCTGAAACCCTTTAAAGATCAAGTCCTAAGTAGGGGGCAGTGCTTGGGCATGCATCACAAGAAAATGCCAAAGATGGAGTTAGAGCACATGATGTCAAGCATAAGTGAGCAACCTTGGGGTTTTTGAAGAGGGGCTTCAATACGTAAAATCAAGATTGAATCCTACACATGAAGCCTACTCAGCGGTCGACCCCGGCTTCTAGAACTGCGGCCCTGACAGCTGCTGCACACCGCAGCAGGACCCGACTAGCTCTCTAAGAACCCGAAACCTCACAGCCGAAACCCGGAGCTCCAAAAAGAGTATGATGTTTGAGCAAGGAATCATACTCTGGACAAACCCCTACTATTGCCTTGACATTGCCCGCTTCAGAACAGAGGTTGGACTCGGGCCTGTATGAGGGCCTTATAGGTTTACATTGCGCTGTCTGTTGTCAGCATAGGGCCATATAAGTTCCCGTTGAGGTTATAGGGTTGAGACAGGGATGGAAAACTTGGGCTCTTCTTTTACAAATGGATTTGGGGTAGTTCCAGGGTGTTTCACATCTCTTGAACTTCCTCCACTACTGCATAGCTTTGGATTTGGGGGATCAAAAAGCTTTAGTCAGAACCAGTGGCGACTTACTGTGTCAGGATTCTATTTGTAGGGCTTCTTGCAGGCTTTATGGAAGAGCCCACTTAGCAAGATGATGAGACAGGCTTGCTACCGAAAGATGCGAACCCTCTGCACTTCTTACCCTAACCCTAAACCCTGAACCCTTTTGTTTTTGTGAGCTGTCGGAATCACTGGCATGACAGCGCTTGCCAGGCAAACGCTCCCTGACCAATGTTTCCAGATGATGCTCCGGGCGAAACCGTCTGCGGAAGCGAAGCAGGGCTTGACAACTTGTTGAGTTCTTCGTCATGCCAGCGATCAGGCTCCCATATCTCAACCCACCTTTATCGAGGCGGCGGTGTGCACCAGCCAGAAACTTCTGAGCCCTTCCAGGTCAATGCGCCCACGAAGCCGTGAAGGCATTGGCAATTCAGACCAGGTAGGCGATTGGAATTGGGAATGTCACACGGAGCCGGCTCGCAAGCGCCATAGATTTGAGCAGACTGAGAGTCTACGGAGGCACTCATGTAACCGTCACAACACTGACAGCCAATGCTTTTCTCGCAATGGCACCAGTGATGATCGGTCATGAGCTCCACGTGCAGCTTCATTGAAGTCCGAGTCGAACCGCCAACACCTCACAGCAGCACTTGCTGTTCCCCCCCTCCCCACCCCCCCGACCCGCACCCCTCGATCCCCACTCGATCTCCACCGCCCTGCCCCCCTCGGCCCCCCCCACAAAGGCCCACCGTTGAAGCATATTGTGCGACGAAACACCTGTTAAATGGCAGATGACACTGCTGCCGGCTTGCCTGCAGCTGTGAGGACGCAGCTGGCACTGCGGTTGGCTGGAACACGTAGAACGGGCGGAAGCTCATCGAGCTGGAGAAGGCTGTGTTCAAAGTGGACTGTGTCACAACGTACCTTGCCACAACAAATGCCGATTGTCCTTAGTGGGATAGGTTACCCTTGCAAATTCAGCAATGAGGATGAGAACATCGTGTTGCTGAAAATGTCGAAGAAACTGGCGTGCTAAAGCAGTCCCCAGCAGCTGACTGGTGCTGCACAACTAAAGCACAATATGCTAATTCTAGGGGAGGCACCTGGCGTCAGCGTAGCTGAGCTTTACTTGAATCCGCGCTGGCAGATTTTCCACAACCAGCCAGTATTCATGAAGCGATGGGTCGAAGTCTGGGAGGAGCACGGCCGAGTATGGCCGCCTGAGTGCGCAACACGGCAGCAGATCCAGCCCATGCTGATGCCCAGAACAAGCAATACGTGCTGCAAAATCCTAGAAAAGCCCAGGCTCAAGTCCATGATCTCAGGCTGCTGGAATGTGCTCTCCATTGCGAGCATGAACACGCTCGGGAGTGCTCCAAGAAACAGCAGACACACTACCTAAGCTGCGATGTTCCACAGAGCTTATGGCTCATGAGCTGCCTTGCTCACTTAAAATTAGGTTGAGCCGTCGTTCCGTACCTCTAAGAATCTCTCGGTAGTTTGCGCGATACACTTGCCTTAGGGAGGCCAGAAACATTTGGAAGCGACTCGTATTCAACAGCGGAGAATCTATAGCGTGCAGCGCAGACCGCTTCTTAGCAGAACTTCAAATCATGGCCCCATACAAAAAGCTTCCCTTGCCCTAAAATTCGACCGATGACTGGGGTCAACTGCACAGATGAGACATGGCTTGTGAACGTGGCTCTCTCAAACAAGTTGTCCAAACAAGCTCATAGGGATCCCACGGGGGCACCCAAAAAAGGAACCCCAAATCCTCCAAATGTCTAAATCAGGCCGTAGCGTCCCTGAATCTCTGAGCAGTCACTATAATAGTCTTGAGAGTCCCACATTCTGGGAAATTTTTGTGGGGGGGCTCCCTTTAGGATCCTCATTCAGGTGACAAACGGAGCTAGGCGTCAGCAATAACTGTTCTCGCGATAGGTGAAGGTGTTCTTCGTATATTGCATTGTATTGCTCCTTTGGTGAGAAAACAGAGACCCGAAAGAAAGGACTTCCTAGCATGTAGACGAATAAGAAAACTACTGACCCATGGTTGATTATTGGCAGCCGCCTCCGCACCACCCCTTGACGGCACCGCACTGCATGTCTGATATAGAGTTCTTCGCACACAGGACAACGTTCCGGCCACCATGAATCTTGTGGTAACAGCTTAAACTCTGAAGGCCCCAGCTTGAAGGCTAGTATAGGAATGTATTTTGATGTCTGTTCCGGGTAAGGTTTAATTATTGAAGTTCTGAAGGACTCTAGTTTTGGAAACTACGTACTCCGGCTACTAGTTTACCTTTTCCCTCTGTACAATCAAGTGCTGGCTGCCACGTGCGCAACTGGAACGAAGCCAGGTGAGTGGAAAAACGCCTTGCGGGTCCCCTTCTTGACGAGCAGTTCTAGGTCCTGACATCCCCAGCAGGACTGGTTTACTAGAAACTATGATGGCAACTTCGACTCTACCAACGCACTGCCAACATCCTTTGCAGCATGGCTGGCAAAGCACAGCTGTAGGTCCTCACCAGCTAGGCGGCCAAGGAAAGTCGCTAGCCAATTGCGCAATCTGCCGCCAGTACTTCCACCACTGCACGCGTGGTCCAGAAACTCCTTAGTCAACAAGTGCTTGAGGAGGAGCTCTGCCGCAACCTCTACCGGCTTTGGGTTGGCTCCCGGCTTTGGGTTGGTGAGGCGTGTTTGGGACTTGTAGAAAGCTTCCACTCACCTGTCTAAAGACAACGACTCCACCCCCATGCACGCTGTCCTGCTTCGAATACTCTGAAAGGCCGCATGATGTTCCATCCGGTCTATTGCGATTCCCTATGATATGGGTCTTCAATTTTTTGAACATGACAGTAGCCCGTTCTTGTTTTGCAAACTTTTGGCGGTCAGACAAATGGACACTTCAACATGTGGCTGGATATCTCAAATTGCTGGATTCTTGTTTTTGTTCTGCTTTTCCCGGACTTGCCCATGGATTTCAACCGGGCTCCTCCAAATTGACCTGCTCACCATCAGCTTCGCAAACGTCATGGAACTGCACCTCCACGCAACGCCACGCATTTTTGAGTCCGGTAGAGAAGCCATGGACGACCACATGCACAACGCACGCCTTCGGAGACGCACACAGGCTCCGCAGGCTGACGAAATAGAGCAGCACTGTGGCCAGACTGGAAGCCTGCGTGGATACACAACTGGTTGCCACATGGTTGAAAACTTCTAAGGAAACAATGTGCGCACACTGATTTGATAATGACCCTGTAACGATTGCAACCTGGACCCTTCCCAGGCCTTTACGCCCATGCCGTTGAAATTCACCTTGCCACAGCCCAAAAAGACCCCATAGCAAGCGTAACAGGTTTCGACACATGTGCGTATATTTGTTGACTCTGGATGCCGCACGTCCAGCAGAATGCATATTGTCTGTGCTCCAAGTCTGGTGATCGAAGTGAAACGTGCCCGTACTCCGCTGGCAAGGGAGCTCTTGAATCACACAGCATTTGCTTTAGAGTTAGCTGCGGCAGTGCTACGACAGGTTGCAGGTGGCGAACTCCATCAAGGAAATGAGAACAGCCCCAAGCGACTGGAACCCTCCTGATGTCATGTCTAAGGGGAATTTTAAGGCAAATATGCTTTAAATGAAGTATCTCTTCACCTTTCTGCATGTAATGAAAAGTAAGTACTGATTTCGAACCTCATTGGCACTGCCTGGGCAAATGGCAAAAGGCACTAATTTGCCGAACTGGGTCCAATACCTCGTGCGCGTTATTGGCTTCCACATACAGTGCACGCACATAGATCACGCCCATCACTGCCGTCAAAGCCATGAGAGTCACACCAAGACCTGGATGATTCACGGTGCGCAGCGATGACCAAGGGTGGGTTTTGAAAAGGATTGCCTACTTTCACGCCTAGCAAATCCAAAAGGACTTTGCCACCGTCTCCAGCCTGTGCGCTCAAGCTTCCGCTGCTGTAGCCTAAGCCGAAGTCCATGCGTTCGCGCTCTGGTGATGGCCAGGCGGCGTGTGTAGTCCACCCCTAGGAACCTCGCATGATGCTCAGTATAGCCTGAGAAATTACAATAATAATTTCAGTAAGTATAAAAAAGTTAACAAAACAAAAAGCACTACGTAGTCTTCCAATAGACTCAGGTTTCTACATTATAAGCTGATGGGTTGGCCTTCCTTCGGCTGGGAGGCTGCTGGGCCGGGCCGTTATGTTGTCCAGAACGCTTGGGAAAGCTGGCGTCTCAAGGCACTTAGATTCGAGAACACGATCTTCGGGTTGCGTTGGATGGGAACAACGACCCTTCCACGCATTTCTAGGACCCTAGGATTGCTCTTCCACCACTGTTTCCTTCATTGATCCACAAGATCGTGGAATGGCACAAAGCAGAGGTCAAACTTTACCAGCGAAACTTGAAACTGTGTTAACGCCGGCCAGAAGTACACGAGGCTGTTGACCACAGCGATGCTTGAGATGACAATGGCGAAGCAGAGTAAAATATTGGTAGTACTCCAGGCCTCGCCAACGCAGGCAACAATCCTTGCAGGGGCTAAGCAGCTAAACAATCCTGATCTGTTTCGGATCCTGCACAAGGATGACACGCACACTCGAGAAGTGTACAAGACGACACGCACACTCGAGAAGTGTACAAGATGACACGCACACTCGAGAAGCGTACCGCCATTCGACATGGCTCAAGTGCGACAAAAGATCGCCGATGGTGTGGGTTTCTGAGGGAAGGATTGGGGTTGAGGTTCGTCCATGCTTGTAGTGCATGTAAGCTATGCAATCTACTTACGACCCTCTTGATGACGTACCTATTCAGTTTCGTAGATCTCCTGCTCCTAGTCATTATTCGTTGGTTCCTACTACCCCTTCGACCAGCCCTCAAGCTCATAACCTCCAAGAGGTTATGAGCCCAAGGGCTCCCAGCACCACTCCGCATCAACAAGCAGCAGGAGCAGCATCAGCTTCAGCAGAGCTGCAGCAATCCCCTGTCGTGACCTTCAGGCAGATGACCCAGATCCAGACGCCGGCAGATTCACTGAGCTCCTTCGCAACTAGCATCTCCGACGACATTTCTTTGGCAGCTGACGTCCAGGCGGCTATGATTGAGTTGTCCTCCAGGGTGAGTATCGGACCAAAGCGCTTGCTACAGCTTTGGAGAACGTTGGTCAGACAGTCAACGGCGTGCAGGAGGGCTATGGAAACATGGTCCGTGGTATGGAGAAGCTTCATGCCGACCTGCAGAGACAGCAAGAAGTCATCCAAGGCTTGGTGGACGCCAAAGCTAGAGGTGATATGGAAGTGCGTGCAACAATGGAACAGATGAGGAATGAGGCGAAGCAGAGCTTGGAAACGCAAGTCCAGGATCACGCAAGTCACCAGCGCGAGTTGAATGGATTCCTGCAACGGGAGGCAGCCATGAGTGCCAAGATGGAAATGCTTGAAGCACAGGTTGCCAAACTTCGGGACCTCACGAAAGCCCAGGACATCAGATTGAACTGCCAGGCGGAAGCCCTGCAGCAGACCGTAGCCGGGCACCGCGTTCAGCCACAGGTGATATGCTAGTGGAGGAACTTCGGGCTCGGGTGGACAGCTTGAGCAATCAGACAAGTCATGTGGCAGAGGCCGCAGAGACCTTGCTAGCCAGGGTGGCCATGATCGAAGAAGATTCTTGGAAGGAGGCAGTTCAGGAGGAGTTGGGACAACTGAGGCAAGACATGGAAGTGTTGGTGGAAGGTGCTAACGACCGCGCTGCTCATTTTCCTTTGACCCCAGACGCTTACTGCCAGGACGCGGGTGGTCAGCCGCAGTTCGACGCCGACGAGGCCGAGAATGAATGGTGGGGTTGGCAGGGCAACAACAGGGAAAAGATGGACAATCACTATGCGTGGCGTGAAGACCCTGGATGCCAGAATCCTTGGGGACTCACGCCGCCGCCGGGGCTGGTGTGTGAGGAAGTTGGCCATCCTGGCCGGCAAACTCCTACGTTCCCGGGGCTGGTGCGCGGAGAAGATGGCCAATATGGTCCGAATGCGTCTGCAGACTCGGGGATGGTGCGCGGGGAAGATGGCCAGCATGGTCATAGTGCGCCCACAGGCTCGGGGCTGGTGCGCGGGGAAGATGGCCAGCATGATCATAGTGCGCCTACAGGCTCGGGGCTGGCGCGTGGAGAAGAAGGCCATGTTGGTCCGGCTGCGCCAACGTCGCCGGGGCTGGTGCGTGGAGGACGTGAGACTACAGTGAGAAATCTAGACAAGATGATCGCATGGAAACCGAACAGGAGCAGTGGAAGGCGCTGACGGACATCCCAAACTTTGACTTCTCAGGCAAAACTCCGTGGGAGCTGGGAATGTCTTATTCCACTTGGAAACGTCAACTGTGTACGGTTGCGGGAACAGCGTCTGGCAAGTTCCAATCCTTTGTGGAAGCTTGTGTGGCCGAAGCAGAGATGAGATACCAGTGCAAAGCTCAGGAGCCGGGAGATGCCCGCCCTGGGCTCCTACAGCCGTTACCCTTCGGGATACGCAGGACGACTTGTGGCGCAATTGCTAAGAATGTTCCCCGAGAGGATCACTGCCCCAGCTTTGGAGATGACAAGTTCAGCCAATGAGATCCACCCCGCGCAGATCTTAGAGGAGTTCTTGACCAAGTTCATACGCTCTCTTGAGCCGGCTGGCTCAGCAACCGAGGCGGCTCAGGCGCTATGCCGGTGGAAACTCCGGAAGCGGCGCCATTTGAGCTGCTCAAAGGTCTCCAAACCCTTATTGCCAGGCTAGAAAAGAAGCATGATTCACTGAGGACAAGGATGTCCCTTTGCAGATTGGACACGTCGATACAGCTGGGAAAGGCTCAGGGTGTCGAACTCATGCTGGAGAATATCGAGAAAGAACTCTGATTGTTGTCGGCGGACGAGTACTCGAAGAGCAACACCTCAGGCGAGCATGAGATCAGCTTGGCGAACAAGGGTAAAGGAAAGGGATTCAAAGGCAAGGGCAAGGATGGAACCAAAGGGATCAAAGGACAAGAAGAAGATCCTGTGTCCGTTCCTACAGAAGGGCTGTTGTTCCTTCGGAGATCGCTGTTACTACAAGCATCCTGACGCATCGCATCAACCTCCACCTACGAATCCCAAGACAGATGCTCAGAGGAAGATAATTCCGTGTCGGAACCACAAGAAGGGCACGTGCAAAATGGGGACAAGTGCCGATATCTTCATGAGGATGCAGCTACAGCCAAAGCAACAGCAAAAGCCCTGGAACCCTGATGGGAGTGGAGAAGGGAGCAGCAGCAAAAGCCAAAGCATCAGCCGCAGTTCCCAAGGCCTCGTCGGCGGCGTTGGCGAGTGTGTGCAAGATGGCTCGCTCAGATCTTCTAGAGGATGAGAATTCTCCATCGAGCTCCGACTCAGAGATGACTCATATCAGCGAGGCTGGGTCAGATGAATCCACAGCAAGCTATGCACGACAGAGCCAGGATGAGTTCTCAGAGGAGGAGTTTCTTGACACAGGTCCTCAGAGAAATCCCTTGTGGAGGCTTCACATGAGGACGAGTTCTTGGAGTGGCAGAGAGGACAGATCATGTTGGCACCGAGGGATTTCCAGATGGTAACAGACGGCCTGGACGTAGCGGTGGGGGTAATGGTCAACGTTGCTCACTTGGACCAAGGACTCCCAGCGTATAGCATTCCATTTGGTGAAGAACAAGAGATAGTGTCGGTGCATGACGTGTTGATCATGTGTGAGGACAATGTTGCAAGGCCCGGAGTAATTGCACGGCTGTTAGATCTTGGCCCCTCGCGAAATGAACTTTTCTTGGCTGCGATTGAGAACCCTCGTCCTCCGAAAGTACGCCAATCCAGAGCGACAGGATCCAAGGATCCGTTGCCCGCAGAACACATGCACATGAGGCCCCAATCCGGGGATCCTTATTCCGAGGAGTTTTTGGGAATGAGCATAGTGGAGATCTTGGAGCAGGTAGACTTCAAGGAGGGAGCCGCGTACTTTGATTCTCCGGGTGTTGAGATTGTACTATTGGAGCTGAGGGGAGCTTTGATGGGAAGTGGTTCTTCGCAAGGGTCACAAGCCAGAAAGGCCCACGCCATGACAGGAGATGGAGACGTGGGGGTGTTGCTAGACTCTGGAGCCAATGAAATAGTCAGAACTGCGCCCGACCCTAAACCCCATAGATCGAGACCATCTCCTCTACAACTTGCTGACGGGCAAAGCGTGCAGGCGTGGAGGACCAGGGAAGATGAGATTTGCATCCAGACAGAGTCAGGAAGATCTACCCTGTGCGGCCTGCGCAAGTTGGTAGACATCGGGGCGACCTTCACATGGTCGCCGAAGGGGGCTGCCTCCGGAAGTGGGAGATCAGCGGATCTCTTTGGGTATTCGAAATGGGTTGCCCTACTAGACATGGGAACATTACAGAATCCTAAGGCCGATGTTGACAAGGCAGTGGAAATCGAGATGCTCGCAGGCCACAGCGCAGGTGCACTCAGACTCTGAGCCACTCATAGCGACTCAGGAGGAGAGTCAAATCATCGAATGGGATGAGATGGGAAGCGCAGCTATGGCTCAGGAGGAGCAGGTGGCTCACAGAGCTGCCCTAATGGGGAAGGAGAACCTCACGTATGTGGACATTGCCGATGTGGTAGCGAGAGCAAGAGTGCCGTGCACCAGGACTAATAGAATGAACAAGATCCAGAACGCTGGAACCTATGGGTGTTTGGGGCATGGAGTGTTGGCGGTTTGCGAGGAGTAACATCGATCGCCAAGGAGAGACCCTGTCTCACAAAGGTCTTGACGAAATTCATTTCTTCTCAAACATCGGTGCCGTTCCGATCATTTGCCGTGTCGCAGGACGCGGCGTTTAAACCACACCAAGATCCGAACGACACTGCTTATGACAATGCGGTAATCGGATTTTCAGAACACAAAGGAGGAGAAGTGTGGATCGAGGCAGACGATGCGTCCAGATTGAAGCCGGAAGAGATTGCTTGGAGAATGGTGAAAATTGGTGGGGAGCCCCTGGCCGGAATATTTCAGTCTACAAGCGGGGGAAAAGTAGTCACATTCAATGGCCGGAAGTATCACGGCACAGAGCCGTATGAAGGAAGTCGGAAAGTTCTTGCTGCTTATGTTCCTCGAGGCTGGAAAAATCTTGATGAGAAGGACCTTGCGGTCGTCGAGGATTTGGGCTTCAGAGCACCAGCAGACAACGCAACACCAGCAGACCACATGCCGCCAGCAGTAGCAAGCCATACGATGAGCAACGCCACTCCACCGAACAACGACCCGAGTGAACCCTTAGCGCACCCTATTTCTACTACTTCTGGGGAAGTTCAGGGATCAGTCCAGGCTTCAGAACAGGAAAGCTTAGGCTTGAATGGCGGCGGCCAGGACTATGGGGATTGAGGTTGAGTTTGGGGTAGAAGAGAGTTTATGCCACGCTGCACCAGTGGCGCCCGAGGGAAGACTTGCTTCCGAGGCTTGTGATGAGGTGCCGGATTTAGAGCTCCCAGACTCATCGGTTGGGGTGACGCTCGAGAGGGAGACAGAGGAGACCACGCAATTCCAGTCCAGAGCAAGGAAGTGACAAGCTATCTGGTGGAAGAAGTTTGTAGAGTGCTGATGCTAATGCAGCCGAAAGTGATCCTGAGAACGGACACCGAACCAGCGATGATTGCGTTGAGAAAGAAGGTGCAGACGATAAGGAAAATGCAGAAGCTTGAAACGGAGATCCAAGATGTAGCACCAGACACGCACCAAGGAGCACAAGTTGAACGATGGGTACAAACCGTGAGGAACCTATCGAAGACTTTGGTGTATGGAGTAGAGAAAGAAGCGAAGGTAAAGATCACAAGCGAGAGTACACTGTATCCATGGGCACCAAGACATGAGGCTGCCAGGCGGAAGACTTTCCAGGAACTGGTCTCCGTCATCCTCACAGGCGGGTCAAACCGGCAGACGTAGCTTTGGGATCTTTAGCAATTGATATTGCCGGACCTTACAAGGAGAGCAAATATTCTGTAGTTGGCATTTTTTCTTTCCAAGTTGAGGGTATGGGCTTGGCTTTTGCAGTTCCCGCTACAAACCGGAAAGTGGAAACAATATTGGGGGCTACAGAGATCATCCTTGCTCAACTGTCGGCTATCACTGGGACAAAGGACTGCGTGGTGAGATTACACAGCGACAACGGTCTTGAGCTGGTCACGAGTCGTTTCAATGAGGCAATCAACAAGAAAGGAGTTTTTAGAACAACGATGGTGCCATATAACCCCTCATCAAATGGGAGAGCTGAGCGGCAAGTTCAGGCCCTGAAACGAGGAGCGCTTCAATTCTTGATAGAAGGCGGATTGGAGCGAAGATTTTGGCCGTTTTGCGTCATGGAGGCTGCAGCTTGCCAGAGAGATATTGCCTTGGGAATGGGGGCGAGTAAACTGGGCGCGCGCGGAGCGAGCAGTGCTTTTGCCCCGGAATTCTTCTATGTCGAAAGGGGCGTTTGTGCTGGTGACTCGCAATGGAAGTCACAGATTGATGAGGGCACGGGCGCCTGTGAAGTTGGAAGCCGATGATGAGAAGTGGAGGGTAGCTAGCCTGGATGGAAAGAAGTTCTGGGTGTCATCCAAGGGATCTGTTAAAGAAATGGATTCCGAGACCATCGATGAATTGCCTACCATGGAAGAGCGAGCTCACGGACCTGTGGATGGGGACTTGGTTTGTGGGGCACGCTTGGGCGAAGGAGCCGTGGCGGCAAAAGCGGCGCAATCTAATGAGCCGAAGTCATGCGACAAGTATCATGTGGAGACCTTTGAGGAGGAGGCTGATGCAGAAGAACAAGAAAGGATTTTCAATGTTTTGGCTGGTGTTCACAACTGTTCGACGGAGGAGATGGAAGTATGGGAAGAGCTCCCGGAAAATCCTTTGGAGCTGCATGACCACTTAGGATTGAAGCAGACAGACGAAATCTCCGATGTGTCTGGTGTGTACGGAGAAGCCGGCGCTGATCAGGACAAGCATGTGTTACAACAAGGCGCAGCCATCGCAGCTGAACAGGCGTCTGCAGCGATTCTGGAGAGAGTCAGGCTGGTGGTGTGTGGCAACTATGAAGACACATCTGGCATAGATACATCTGCTTACGCGTCGTCGAACGTGGATGTGAACTGCTTGAGGGTGATGTATTCGGAGTTGGCCAATCATCAAGAATGGGAGGGAATGGGATTCGATGTGAGTCAGGCACTCCTCTACTCGGATCTTAAATCCAAAAACACCATCTTAATGCGACCTCCGAAGATTCTTCAAACGCTGGGGCTGATCAAGCGGGGACGCAAAAGGGCATTTACGGACTTAGGTCGAGTCCTGTGTCTTGGGAGTTGGAACGAGACGTCCTGAGTGAAGCCACGTTACCACCGCTAGCAGAAGACGATTTGCCTAGCTTGAAGGTCCATGCGGTTTCGGACTATGCTGGAATGTGGGTGATTAGAAGAGAAGACAATCAGGAGATTGCGGCGATTGTCAGCCACAAATCCGCTTGAACCATCGGGGCGTGGAGATTTCTCAACATTTGTGGTTATTACAAGAGCTTCAGAAGCGTCAGCTGATCCACTTGAGGGGGCAGGAAAGTCTTCCTGTACTTCATGAAGGAGAGCTTAGAGATGAGCGAGAAGATCGTCAATACACCTCGCGAAAAACTGAAGCACAGAGGGAGTTGGGCAGTTTGCTTTGGCTGGCTACAAAGTCCCGAGGGGACATAGCAGCAGTGATAGGGGCCGCAGCCACTTGCTTGACTAGGGCACCCTCGGAGGCTCTCAGAATTGCTAAAGGGACTTGGCGGAATTTTGCGAAACTCTTGTTGATTCGCGGTGCTTTTCCAGGCTACAACTTCCAACGTCTTGACAGGATATTCCGACGCCAGTTTTGCTCCTGGAGGGAGCAGATCGAGAACAGGAACTGTAGTCTCTTGGGGAGCCAACCCAATTGCATGGTCCAGCAGGAGGCAAGCACTTACAGCCTTCTCGACATGTGAGGCTGAAGTTGAGGGTATGGCCTCAACGGTTCAAGACCTGCTGCACGTTCATGCTTTGATTAGGGCTTTAACGGGGCGAGATTTGGGACTTGAACTCAAAGCGGAGAATACACCTGCTGTGACCCTAGTGACAAGGGAGCGATTTGTTGCTCATGGGTGGCGCAGAAGACACTTCGCCCTTAGGGCGTCATGGTTGAGAGACATGACGGCTACAAGAGACATCTTGGCGGAGCACGCCCCTGGAGCAGGTTTGGTAGCAGATCTCTTGACGAAGTCTATTCCAAAGTGTCGTTTACCAAATCTTGAGGCCGATGATGGGATTGATAGACACAAGCATATGATTCTAAACCTGGCGGAGACTGGGACAGAGAAAGACGGCGAGGCAAACGCAGGCTGACCATCGAGCATATTCGTGGGAAGCGTGGAATTGTCCTCAATTAAGGCTTTTGATAAGTCCTCTGCCGAAGGAATAGTCCAGCAGGGGCGACGCGCATGTTTTTGATGCGCAATCCGAAGGGGAGCGGCAAAGCTCTCATGCTTTTCGATCTTTGCCGAGGGGGAGTGTTTCGGATCCTGCACAAGGATGACACACACACTCGAGAAGTGTACAAGATGACACGCACACTCGAGAAGTGTACCGCCATTCGACATGGCTCAAGTGCGACAAAAGATCGCCGATGGTGTGGGTTTTTGAGGGAAGGATTGGGGTTGAGGTTCGTCCATGCTTGTAGTGCATGTAAGCTACGCAATCTACTTACGACCCACTTGATGACGTACCTATTCAGTTTTGTAGATCTCCTGCTCCTAGTCATTATTCGTTGGTTCCTACTACCCCTTCTACCAACCCTCAAGCTCATAACCTCCAAGATGATCCACCAAACAATAGTCACGAACCAAACCCTTTTGAAAGGATCGGGCCTACATGGGCCTTCATCAGGTATCAAGATTGGGGTCTAGAGGTAGACACTTGCTTGCTGCATTATTGTTGTTTTCTCTTGCTGCTGCTACGCCTGGCGACCACAATCTTCTGGAAGCCAAGGAAGCCCAGAATGCCTCCCACATGGCTCCCGATTGAAGCGGCCAGCGACGCATACCATGGTTGTAGCTCCTGGTCACACTTGCCATCTTCAGGTCCATCTCCTGAGAAGTCTGTAACACAGGTTTGTGACACCGCTCTGTCAAAAAGCCCTGCACCCATACATGTCAGCTTCCGTTAAGAGACAGAGTCAGGGCTCTGCCAGCAGAGCCGACAATTGCAGCTGGCCGCCAGCACAGAATAACAAGGGCCAGGACAGTAGCAACCGTGAATGAGGCCAAGGAAGCGCTCCTTGGGAAGGTTTAAGTGCATGAATGCATCTTGCCAAGGACGCAAGAATCAGGGACCCGGGGTACCTACATTTTACAAAACACGGCGCCTGTACGCGGGGGAAATGCGTCCAAATGCTGCAGATCTGCGCGCTATGTGCAGCGAGGACACCAAAGCCAGTTCAACGCAGCAATCCTAAGCTTTCTGCAGTGGAACGATGGAAATGCAGTAAACCAAGCAGTTTCCATCCAAGCTGAGGCAGCGTCAAAAGTCTCCCTCCAGCCGACTCATCAACATCCATGTGAACCTTGCCAAAAAGGTACAAGACCCAGCTCCGGTTTCTGGGCTCAAGCTGTTCACAGCCACGCTACTCAGAGTCACCATCTAACCCCCTGGCGTCCACATTGTAAGGTGACCTAATCTCACAAATACCCAATCTCGGCGCCCGGGTCCTACAACAGTGGCTTTCACACTCCGCCACTACAGGTCGCTTTTACACAACCTTCACAAAGTCGGACTTCATGGTGGAGAGCCTGTTGAAACCAAGAGTAAAGTTAATAGCTCCCCGAGCCTGGAATATGCTACGCGCACGGTCCCTGCTTTGTAGGCAACAGGTTCTGAAATTCCGCCAACCGCAACGATCCGCAACAGCTAGGCTAGGCCCACCTCCCTGACCAGTGCAGGGGCATCAGCAGCGGTTCGTGCGCAAAGTCCCGGCCCGCAGAGAAGCAAGAGGGCCTTCGTCATTCATGGCAACTTACTTCGACTCCGTCGCTGTGAAAGTTCAGCTGCACCATCCCAGTCAGCCAGCACCCAGTTGCAAACAAATCAAGTGAATGCTTCAGGTCAGCTTTGTTTTGCTGGCTTGGGATCGATACTTACCGATACTTATTCCAATACCGGCCAACACGCTGCAGAACACCAGCGTAGGAAGCGCTCCAACTTCTCTGACGGCATGCCTGGGCTTCATAAACGGACAAAGCTGCACAAGCAGCACTTCAGAAGCAAAAAAGCATTAGGAAGCCAAAGCTTCTGAAACAACATCTCAGCCCAAGGCATGAAAGGCATGTGTTGAAAACAGCTGACTTGGAACAGGGAGGCCTAAGTCCTGCCTATAATTTGTTGGGGAGTCACGGCAGCTGACAGCCGCTTCTCTGCGGAGAAAGGCTACTTCTCAAACAAAGACCTCGGCACAGCAGTCGGATTCTGGCAGGTGCCCCAGAGCAACCATCGTGTGAGAAACTTTCCTTCAATAGAATCAATTGAAGGCCCCTTGAGATGAACTCCGCATTCTTACTAGACTTTCAGAGTTGAGGTTCATGGGAACAAACAAAAAGAACAACTCCTCAACAAAAACATACACACACAGTAACACACTAACACACTAACACACGAACACACGAACACACGAACACACGAACACACTAACACACTAACACACTAACAAACTAACACACTAACACACTAACTAACACACACACACACACACACACACAAACACACTAACACACACTAACACACACTAACACACACTACACACACACACACACACACAAACAAACAAACAAACAAACAAACAAACAAACAAACAAACAAACAAACAAACAAACAAACAAACAAACAAACACGAACACGAACAAACACGAACACGAACACGAACACGAACACGAACACGAACACGAACACGAACACGAACACGAACACGAACACGAACACGAACACGAACACGAACACGAACACCGACACTAACACGAACACGAACACCGACACTAACACTAACACTAACACTAACACCAACACTAACACTAACACCAACACTAACACCAACACTGACAACTAGCACTAGCACTAACACTAACACTAGCACTTGTTTTGGCTTCGAGCAATTCGGGTGTGCCAATTTGACCATAGGATCTGGAGGTTTTGGGATTTCGGTGCATGTCCAAGCAAGGCCCATGATAGTGCTGATATATGTTTACATGATGAGGCGCGCGATGCTTTCAATGCTTTCGGGTCACTCGTGGTCTAGTTGCGAGGTTCCCACCCAAGGTTTGATCACCACGGTTTGGCGAGGTTGTCGAGCCACCGGGAGTGCCGCCCGCGCCAGACCTCATCAGTGGCCAACCCCTCTCCTTCTCAGGCCCCTCAGGCTCGCAGGAAGCGCCGATCAGAGCTGTCGGTCCAGGTAGTGCAAGCTTCACCGACGAGCTGGGAATGTATGGGGCTCGGAATTGTAGCGCCCGAGACGGTTTGCCTGTGTGGGGTCCCTCTCGCCCTCAGGCCTCAATGGCTCCCCCTCCGGCGACCGCATCAAGGAATGGATGCGCAGAGAAATGGCCTATGACGTATGGGGATTCCCGAAACTGCCTCCTCCGAACAGGTCCCCTCCGCCGCTTCTGGCTTCCCCGAGACCAAAAAAGCCGCGTGGGACCCTGCTATCTCCCGCCCACCCTTCGACTCCAGGATTTGAGCAAGGGGGGTTCTTGACAAAACAAACAAACAAACAGACAAACAAACAAACAAACAACAGGGCAGCGCAAGTTGCTCAGCCGAGACGCAGTCTTTCAGTAGCGAGCATCTCTGGGATCACCAAGCATACGGAAGGTCTACTGGAGAACCCAAACGCCCAAAGGTAGCAGGGCCAGGCAGCGGAAGTTCACGCAATGATTGAGGCATGTGCTACAACTAGGTGCCATATTGTGGTTATGCTACTTACTTACTTCTCCAATACCTAGGAATTAAAAGTTTGTAAGGTTGGGAATTGACTGGCGAAGTAAGGTTGAAAGGAGCCATGCTACCCCCCCATGTTGGAGAATCTTGGAACACACGTTCTCGTACTGCTCAGCTCTGGACCCGTGCAAGCATCTGCTGGTCTTGAAATACCTCGAGGTCCTGCAAGGGCTCCACGACTCTGTTGGCAGGAACCGCTATGACCGCCGCAACAAGAAGAACATGCCCTAGGGAAGAGAGGACCGCACAATTGGGGCAGATTAACGGGGTTGTTGTTTTTTGCTTTAACCTCGTCGTCAATTTTTAAACCTCGTGTCTTTGTTTTCACCTTGGATTTGCTGTAATATGTGCTTTTTTAACCTTGTATATCTTCCTTCGAACCTTGTATATCTTCTTTCTGGTGTTGTACGTTGTTTTTATAAACCTTGTCCATCATATTCATAACCTCGTCCTTTTCTGATCATGTCTCTCTCATACTCTCTGGACACTGAGCTGCCTGTTTCGTGCTGCACTGTTCATTCGTCAGCCTTTAGGGCTGAACAAGCTCAGAGCTTGAATCCTCAGACCTTCAATCTGAAATGCTAAACACTAAACGTGACAAACCTCTAAGAGCTCGACCGAATCCAAATTCGAGTCTCTTCGTAAGCCCTTATCCGAAACTCTCTGATTTGCTTGACACCTGCTGAATGCCTAAAACGGTCCCGATTCTCCCTACACCCAAACCCCAAACCCCAAAGCAAAACAGATCCGTCATCCCCTCATACCCTAACAACCCAACCCTAAACCGTTGACACCCCGAAAGCAAAACCCGGCCTCAGTGCAATGCCGTCCGCGGTCTCGGATTTCCTTCACGCGCCTCCACACATGTGAGCAGGAACCGGCTTAGGGTTTAGGGTTTACGGTTTAGGGCTTAGGGTTCAGGGCTTAGGGCTTAGGGCTTAGGGCTTAGGGCTTAGGGCTTAGGGCTTAGGGCTTAGGGCTTAGGGCTTAGGCTTAGGGCTTAGGGCTTAGGGCATTTGGTCGTTTTGGGGTTTAGGTCTAGGGCGTTCAGGTTTTTAAGGTTTCGGGCTGTGGGGTTTTGTAGGGTTTGTGTGCCGGGGTGCAGTGTAGGGTTTGAGGCCCCCTAGAACCCGAAATCTAAGCCGCCTCCCACAAGTCAATGTCGGCTTGCCAAGCACCTTCGGGTTTAGGGTTTGGGGTTTGGGGTTTAAGGATTGGGGCTTAGGGTTTAGGGTTTAGGGCTTAGGGCTTAGGGCTTAGGGTTTAGGGTTTAGGGCTTAGGAAGCCCTGGAGCGCGTGCACAATTTGTTCGAGCCGCCTGCGATATGAGCCTTCGGAGAGCCGGGCGAGAGGGGGTTCGGGGCCCCCGGCTTAACAGGGCTCAGCCGTCACCGCTCCCTACTTCTGAGGGCGCTGCGCGCGATTGGCTCTTTAAACCCTTTGAGAAAAACAATATTGTATACATACATACATACATACATACATACATACATACATACATACATACATACATACATACATACATACATACATACATACATACATAATGTATTATATATATATATGTGCTACCATATATATAGTCCCTTACACATCCAAGTAAGGACACTCTAAGGTATACCAACAGCCAACCTAGCCAGAAGCAGACTTCGGCCAGGCTCCTCAGTCCGCCTCCCTCGCCGAGGTGCCGTTGAATCCGAACCGGTCGACCTTCGGGAAACCCTAAACCCTAAACCCTAAACCCTAAACCCTAAACCCTAAACCCTAAACCCTAAACCCTAAACCCTAAACCCTGCCAAGTCGACCTTCGGGAAACTCCGCGGCGGGATTGGCAGGCCAAGGAACCTCCAGGGCGTTTAGGGTTTAGGGAGTTTATTGGGCTTGGGGCTTAGGGCTTATAGGGTTTCTAGGTTTCACAGGGTAGGGTTTTTGTAGGGTTTATAGGGTCTTAGGGCTTAGGGGGTCTTAGGGCTTAGGGCTTAGGGCTTAGGGGGGGGCTTAGGGCTTAGGGCTTAGGGCTTAGGGCTTAGGGCTTAGGGCTTAGGGCTTAGGGCTTAGGGCTTAGGGCTTAGGGCTTAGGGGGTAGGGCTTAGGGCTTAGGGCTTAGGGCTTAGGGCTTAGGGCTTAGGGCTTAGGGCTTAGGGCTTAGGGCTTAGGGCTTAGGGCTTAGGGCTTAGGGCTTAGGCTTAGGGCTTACGGCTTAGGGCTTAGGGCTTAGGGCTTAGGGTTTGTAGGGTTTGAAGGGTTTACAGGGCTTATAGGGTTTAATTGCGTTTATAGGGTTTAGGGGCCTTAGGGCTTCGGGTTTAGGAGCTTCTACGGGTTTCGGGTTTCGCATTTGGGTAAACCCAACTTAGGGCAATCAAGAACTCTACATTACAACCTACTTTGCGAAGTTCACCGCCTAAACCCGAAACCCCAAACCCCATACCCTATACCTCCTTACCATTTCCATAGGCAACATCTACATCCTTGGTGTTGGACGTGTTTGCAACATCTTGCAGACAACGAAAATGTGACGAGTAGTCGAGAAATCTCTCACACACACACACCTACTTCTGAGTTGCCAAGCTCCGTGAGTCCCTTAGGCAGCCGGGAAGCCCTAAACCCTAAACCCTAAACCCTAAACCCTAAACCCTGAACCCTGAACCCTAAACCCTAAACCCTAAACCCTAAACCCTAAACCCTAAATAAACGGCCGGGAAGCTTGCACAGTGGCCCCCAGCCGTCCGAGAGGTTGAAGAGCAGGAGGCGCTCGGGCGGCACCGTTCGCACCACGCGGTCGTGATGCAGCCTGCTGGTTTAGGGTTTAGGGTTTAGGGTTTAGGGTTTAGGGTTTAGGGTTTAGGGTTTAGGGTTTAGGGTTTAGGGCTTAGGGCTTAGGGCTTAGGGCTTAGGGCTTAGGGCTTAGGGCTTAGGGCTTAGGGCTTAGGGCTTAGGGTCCAGCGTGTAGGGAGCAGGGTGTAGGCTGTAGGGTGTGGGGTGTCCTAGGGTTTAGGGTCCAGCGTGTAGGGTGTAGGGTGCAGTGGTGGCTCCCAAAACCCTAACGCCAAACCCTACACCTCAAACCCGAAAAGCAAGGTTTAGGGTTTTGAGGGTCTTTTGGGTTAACAGGATTTTGGGTTTAGGGTTTTAGTGTTTAGGGTTAGGGTGCTAATTTTCAGGTTTGGGGGGGGGGGGTACTTTATTGGGGGGTTCTGCAGGGTTTCGGCAGGGTTTCGGGGGGG